ACACACACACACACGCACACACACACACACACACACACACACACACACACACACACACACTGCTTTAAACCTGAGCTCAGTAAGTTATGAAGGCCACCTAAATTACTAGAGTGCCAGTAATAATACTATTTCCTGCACTGAGCTCAACACAGTACATACAGATGTAAACACTGGTAAAAAGGGACATATTCTATACCTTTGCAGCCTTTTATGGTGTCATTTTTGTGGCAGATCAGATTCGTTTGTGCCAAATAAGTCATAATTTGATTTTTCATTATTATTTTTATCCTCTCTATGACCTTTAAAAATATATAGTCGATTTTTGCATATTGGATTGTTGCTCAGTATTATTACAGAATTGATGTTTGTTCATGTGAGCAGTCATATATTAATGTGATTATGGCTGTATGTCTGAATGATGCATTTTTACAGATTTAGTTTCAGTAAATGGAATAAGAGTGTTTTTTTTTGTTGTTTTTTTTGCATGGGAGTTTGTCTACATGGCTTTTTGTGTCAAAGGATCAAGAAAGTTACTGTTTGCCATCACAAAACTAACACCATTTGAATTAGACATTTACACATAAAATGAAAAGAACCAGATTTTGAACTCAAAGATAAAATGCTAAGACATAGAATAGATAAACATGATGATGAAGGGGCCTGAGTCTGTGTCTCTGCTTGATGCTCCATCATCACAAAGTATTGCCCTCTCCTACCTGCACTGTCAGCATCTCTGTGTTGCCATGGGAACAGGGTCACTGAGGATATAGTAGGGGGTGTAATGGGGGTCTGTCCTCTCCAGGGAAATCTTAGATGATTTAAAAAATATTAAGAATGACAGATTTGCCATGGCAACCTGACTGTCTGGTTACTGCAGCAATGGTTCATGTTTCATGCATATGAAGTAATTAAAATAAAACTTTTCACTTTAATTTATAATTAATTCATAATAATTTATGCATTTAGCAGACACTTTTATCCAAAGCGACTTACAGTGCATTCAGGCTATAA